TATCAGAGAATGTCAGTAGCAAAGGAGACCAACACATCTACATTACAAACCAGTCCGCAAAAGCATGGGTCTGAAGAGATGGCTGCAGCGGAAGGCAGCCTTTTCTTCCTGGGTTTCCCTGTTGATCTTCCAGGACTGTTGCGTACACTCTGGTTGTTGTGTCGTGGGCCTCTACGGATAGCCCATTGCATTAGTTTAGCAATAACTTTAGCCGTTTTAATGACTTTGAAGCCAAAAGAAATCAATTTTGCAAGGCTAATGTTGATCAGCCTCAAAAGATGCCATTTCTTTGTAATTTAATGAATAATCAATTCAAAGTTTTATCTTTCCCTGCAGTAGACGAGTAAGCCGAACATTGGCCTTTAGATACCGACAGTGCCTTTCTTCAGTTGTGGTTTGGTCTTCTAGTTCCTCAGCTTCTGTATTTAATCCAATCTCTCAGTTTGGCATGACCCTCAGCGAGGATGCTGAGGGGCAAAGCCTGTCAAATCACCACACTGCCTAGTGGTATGAGCTCTCCATGGTCCTGGATTTGACTCAGAGAAACCATTCAGATGTTGAGCTCTGGGGGATGTTTTGAAAGACAGTCTTCCTTTGAAGAGAACCTGTGTGTATTTTGTGATTTAAAATTACTATCACAATTTAAGATTTTTCCATACATATTTTTGATCTTCCGGGGTAATCTATTCTCTTCATAGTTATCTGCATGTTCATTTTTTTTAAAATAAACGAACAAAATTACTAATCCTGCAGCTGAAGACCATGTTTTTGTCTATCGAAAATGGCTGCTCATTATTCTATTCAGAAACTTTTTACAAACATCGACGCTTACATTATTAATTATACATGTGTACTTATTTATTTGAATACCTCATTAAGTATACCCGTGGCATATGATGGATAGGCCCTAAGAATAATAACTAACATACAGAAAAGAAAACTCAGTATCGGAAATAAAAGGGTATTGTTTTACCCACATTAGTGAAAGGAGTGTCTACATTAGAAATGAGCACTATAGATGTTCAAAGAATCAAACTATGTGAAATGAGATTAGATTTAATTTCGTTAAAATTTTACTTTATTTCTAACAGACACTTTATGAGACACATAGAAGTGTCATCCCATTTCACAGATGAGAAAACTCGAGGCATTAGAAGTGAGCTTTGCATAGTTAATAAGTAATTGAACAAAGATTATATAAACTATTCATCTGAGTGTCCTATGTTCTAACAAGGAGCTATAGGTTTTAGCCTTATTATTCTCCTTTTGGCTGGGGTAATTGCAGTCATTTGAAAATCTGAAAATCGCACATCTCTTGAAGAACGGACATATAAACACAACTTTGCATGTGATGTTTCGTGGAAAGATATATGTACCTGTGTGCTAAGGTGTTTGGAGCTTATTTGTTGGTGGTGATAATCTTGGCTGCAGATGATGGAGCAGTCAACAAAGAACATTGATATTGTCACAGTCTTTACTGAGGATGAATTGGTATTCGGTTTCTTCTACCCAGAATCAGATTGAGCATGGCAGAGCATTGGAAAGGTTATATCCAGAAAGACACACACACACACACACACACACACTATCTTTTGTATTTGAGAAATGCAGCCAAAATGTTTTGTCTAGAACAAAATATACAGAAGCAAAGTTTATTTTAAGATTTTAACATGGTCCTTAATTCAATTTGAGAACTGATTATAGCTAGGCTCTACTTCATAAAACCAAGCAAAAGATTAATCCGCAAGCTGTGTTATTGTCTTAAGATCTTTAGTTTCATCTATTATACCAGAGTTTCAACAGCCTTTATAATCCTTTGACTGTATTTTATTGCTGTTGCCCTCAAAACCAATTACTACTTATTATAGACACAGTGCTGTCATTCTGAAAGTCTTCTGAACTATGGTGCCTGCATAATGATGTGATGTGGGAGTCATGGAAACCCTTTATTAAGATAATGGCCAAGAACATGACTTCAGTGGGGGGGGGGTATATTGTGTGTTAGAGTTGAGGAAGTAGAGGTGAGAAAGTCGCAGAGAGAACAGGGAGGTAGGATGTGTGCTTCTGTGTGTATGTGTGTGTGTGAGAGAGAGGAAGACAGGGAGAGAAGGAGAGAGGGAGGGAGAAGGAGAGTGAGAGAGAAAGAGAGAGAGAGAGAGAGAGAGAGAGAGAGAGAGAGAGAAGAGTTTGTATCTTTTAGTAGCAATGCACTCTTCCCTGTGGCGGGAAATCGTTGCTCCCCTATCAACCCTTTGGAAGCTATTAGTTGATCTCTGAAATCTTACAGTTTGATCCTCCTTATGATATTTTTTTAGTGTTTTAATTAAACCCCGTCTTCATGTTTTACTTATTTATATTTTAGCATAGACAAAATATTAAAGCTATACGTATTTATAGGTACCCTGTATAATATTCAACACATGTAGGTATTGTATAATGTTTAAATCAGGTTGAACACTTATCTCTTTAAAACTTCATCATCTCTTTGGGGTGGAAACTTTCACTATCCTCTCTTCTGGTTTTTTATTGCACAGTATTCTGTCACCGTGTGTGCTCACACGCTGCGTGTGTGCAGCCTACCACTGTGATCTTTGTTTCCAGCCAGCTCTAACCTTGCCCATCCATCACCCTTTCCCTATTCATTTTCTCCTCTCCTCGCATCCCCAGCCCTCATGAGGATTAATTTTTTCCCTTGGTTTATTGACAAGCCTATTCATTAATATCAATTTCAGAATAATTGCTTAATCATCCACTTTGCTTTAGTTACATGGAAAAAATTCTAGTGTAAATATTAGGAATATTAATTAGATAATGAATGAATTCATTTATGATCATTTAGGTGACAAGGAAAATTACACATAACATCCATGTAAAACTACCTTCAAAATTGGCCTCCCCAATTATGGCCCAATTGTAAAATGAGTCACTGATCCCAAACTTGACCATAACAGGCATTATTGGCATGCACAGTTAAACAAAAAAAATCTTTTATTAATATATTAAAATTTTGAAATTTTCTTCTGAAAATTATGATACTTTTTTTTTTAAATTTATAAATGGTCATACTGGAAGTCTGGCATTCCCAGTGGCCAGCTGAACTCATATGTTATCTCGTAGCTAGGGCTGTTGACTTCCAGGTCCACTGGTTCTCCCCTGTCTTCTTCACTCACTGGAAGTCCCTTCCTCAGCCTTAGAGGACCTGAAATCCCCTGCTCTTGTGCTTCCCTTGGGCTCTCACTGCACCAAGAAAATGGCTTAACCCACCTCCTGGAGCAATGTTGAGTTCAAGTACATGAAGACAGCAACGCACTAAACTCCACCCACCACCCTGGCCCCGGCTCCACACATGTTGAAGAAAAACAGGGTGAAATCCATGGTATTGGCGGCACAGCCCACTTAGCCAATGTGAAATAAATTAGTTGCGCCATGTAAAAGGAGGCCTAAGATCCCCTGGTCTAAGATCTAAGCCTGGGTCCTAGTATACTTACACTATGTCAGATGGTAAAATATCTGTACCTGACGTAGCTTTCAATAAGCCAATAGTTAAACATGGTCAAGATGTTGGGAAGTATGTGGCATCGTATGTTTCCGAATAAAGTTACCATCCAAATCATACTGCAGAGCAAAGTTTCGTTACTTAAATGACTTAAAATAATAGCGTTATTTTTGTTATATATATATATATATATATTCATTTTTATATGTTATATATTATAAGCATATATGCTAGCTGGAATATTAACCTAGAAAGTGGCGTGATGTTTCTTAAATTATGTAAATTTTCTGTAAGATCTTTTGGGTTTATGGAGAGGATGAGTTTTTCCACTGTAAGCAATGCATGGCTGCTATAATGTGATCTGGCTTGTTATTCTCCAGTTTGTATTTATGGAGAGGGGAACCATACTGCTGAAACCATTCTGAATATTCCTCTGAACTTCCTTCCTTGTTGCTCTTTTTATTTAATGGGAATCCACGATGTGGATTTAAACATTTAAAATGTCCCCATTCAGTAGTGCAGATACTCACCAGTTATTTTATGAGTTCCTTGGTGCTGTAAATAAACCCAGTTAGCCATCACTGGGGTCTGAGCTTGCACGCATTGCTCATCAGAAGCAAAGCAGTGAGCATGCCTTGGAGGAGACGCTCGCACACAGCTTCAGCTGTGCCAAATCCTGCCCTCAGCAACGTGAGCACACTTCAAACAGAAATGCACATGAATAGTTAAAGGAAAATTCTGGATCCAACCTGTTGCCTCTTCTGTGCAGCAATGTGTCTATAATGTCTATAAATTTTAATAAGCCAGACAGAGCTTATCTTTCGGCATAAAACCCAAGTTATCATGAGGTTTGGCTTTGGGTGAGGGCAGTGTATTCTCTGGCATCCCAGAATCTGTCCCTATGCTAATGCAGGCCAGTTTATACAAAATTATAGTATCCTCTCATCAAGTGGGCATCATATTCAGTGTGTTTTCTTCTTCATGGGACTGGAAGCATGAAAATCCTTGAAGAGGAACAGGAACACTGGAGCAGCATCTTTGTTGACCCTGCCAGAGTGACTTCTATCCCTGTTTCCCTTTGCTCTACAAAATGATGGTGGAAACAAAAATTACAAAGTCTTTGCCGTAATGGTTAAAGATGCCCCTGGCAGCAGAAGTTAAATGAGAACTGGTCTAGGAGCATGTGCCACACGAGCTGAGTCTTAAATTTGTTATGGTTATAACATCATGCCTCGCTTGTAAGCCCTGTGTCTTAGAAACAGGCTGTGTATCCCAGTGCATGGGCAGCTGGAGGAGGGAAATGCTGTCACAAACAAGACACAATTTTATTAGTCATACCTGGATTTGTGACAAGAGGGGGACCACGGACATTACTTGAAAGTCATCTAGCTGTTGCTCTTGAATTCTGGACTCGTTTTTGGTATATTTGGGGTGGCAAGGTGATAGACTATAAAGAACATAATCCCATATTCTAAACAAGCCCTTCCCTCCTTTTTGCTTTCAGTTTACAAGCACTGAGAAAGGAGAAATCCAGAGACGCTGCTCGCTCCCGCCGGGGGAAGGAAAATTTCGAGTTCTATGAATTGGCCAAGTTGTTGCCTCTCCCAGCAGCCATCACCAGCCAGCTTGACAAGGCATCCATCATCCGACTCACAATCAGCTATCTCAAAATGAGGGACTTTGCCAACCAAGGGGACCCTCCGTGGAACTTGAGGATGGAAGGCCCGCCCCCGAACACCTCAGTGAAAGGTAGGTTGTTGGCCACTGTGTTGTATGCATTATGGTGGTCTGTGGCTGTCTCTGGAATGAAATGTTCATCAGCATCCTTTCTTCTTTTCCTGCATATCAAATCCTTTAAAGGGATACAAATGTGGAAATCTGAACTCTGCATGAGAAAGACACCATGCGAAGGTGAAATAAATCTCTTCTATTTCTATTTGATTTTCAAAAAGTCTGTGCGCCTTTGACATAATATAGATTGTGTAGGAGTCAGGATGGAATAATTTGCATAATGTGTTCTAATTTATGGTGTACAGATATGTGTACCTTCTTGCCATTGCCATGTGGGGATGTGGGTTAATAGGTGGAGCTAATGTGCTTTGTGTTAAGCAAACAAAGATAGGAACAGAGCAAGGCCTTACCAGAACAGGTGTTCTTGAATTAATGATTTAATTGACCCTGAAAATCAATCCATATATTAAATTTTCATGTTTCTCTATGGACACATTGATTTAAGGTTATGAATATAAACATATATTTGTTCTTCAAATCCTTGACATCGTTTCTCTTAAAATTATTTTCAAATGGTTGTCCTGTCCTTTCGATGCTTAAATTTCAGGATTTTCTTGTTTGTTCCTGAAACCCCTAAAACTTGATGGCATTTTAGCATTCAAATATGTATGAATTAATTGATGTGTATGTGGTATTGACCATTGGTTTTTTTCTCTTTCTTTCTTCCTTCCTTTCTTTCTTTTTTTTTCTTTCTTTCTTTCTTTCTTTCTTTCTCTTTTTTTTTAAAGACAGGGTTTCTCTATAACTTTGGAGCCTGTCCTGGAACTCTGTAAACCAGGCTGGCCATGAACTCACAGAGATCCTTCTGCCTCTGCTTCCTGAGTGCTGGGATTAAAGGTGTGTGCCACCACTGCCTGGCTGATTTTCTTTTCTTATGGGCATGTCATTCATAGCGGATGACCTAAAATCTTGAGATTTCCCGAGTCCTCATGTTCTCACCTTGTATGTAGAACCTTTTCAAGCATGGTATAGAAATGGACTATTTAGAGAGGTATACATAATCTCTTCTGAGGGAGAAAGGCAAATGAGCTTCTTTTCCTTGAGGTTTATTTTTATTATATTAATTATGTATATGTATAGTGTCTGTGTGGGGCTGTGTGCATGTGAGTGTGGTGTCCTTGGAGGATGGAAGCATTGGATCTCCCTGGAGCTGGAGTTACTTACAGAGGATTGTAAGTTGCCCAATGTGCTGGGAGCCAAGCCCCAGGTCCTTAACGGGCAAGTCCTCTCTAGCCCCATTTTCTTGGGGTTTCAGGGAAGTAGGTCAGGAGGAGGCAGTCTCACTATGTAGCTCTAACTTGTCTTTAACTCACTGTGTAGACCAGGCTAGCTTCAGACCCTGCCTACCAAGTACTGCTAGTAAAGGCATCTGCCTCCATGTCCATCCAAAATAATCCTCAGGTGATTTTGGACTGCCACCTACCTCTGGAAAAGTCCTTGTAGCCTTAACTGTGTTTGGGAAGTTTTGGAAAGTGTACTAGCAGATGGATTCTGATCAAACCAAAGGATCAGAAGCTGTGACTGTCACTGCATGCCAAGAGTTGCAATCATATGTATGTGTGGACCACTTAGTTTGAAAATTCATAATCATAAGCTATAAACTTAGAAGCTCTCTAGTACTCAGAGTACCAACATGATGCCCCCATGAGAAAGCTTTGCTGTGTACCTGTATGAAATTACTAAAAATAGTATATAAACTTATCTCAGTGTGGTATGCAAATGAATTTTGTGCATAGACATGTCTCCTTTCTTTAAGATAGTTCATATATATATGCAAGCATCCCAAAGTCTGAAATCTGTGACATTTCTAGCTGCCAACATTATGGATAAGGGAGACAAACTCTACCTGGACTTAAAAACTGTGCTCATGGAAGTAATTCTGAGTGTGTCAGCCCCATGTCCAGGAATAATTGCCTAATACAGTAATCTCTATGGTTTATTTGTGTCATTTTTTCTTATTAATTTGTTGTTGTTGTTTGTTTTGCTTTTTTTTTGTTTTCTTTTGAAGTTGGATGGGCAGGAAGGTGGTGAGAATCTGACAGGGGTTGGGGAAGGAAAAATGTGATCAAGATATAAGAAAAAAATTAAAGAACAAAAGGAATTGTGCTCTGGTTGTGAGAAGAAGGATAGAATTCAGATTCCTTCATGTTGTTTATTCTAGAACAGAATTGACATACTTTTTTTTTTAATAAAGGACCTTAGAGTAAATATTTTTGGTATTGGAATCCACTAAGTCCACGAGATCAGGACACAGACAATATGTAAAGGCATAAATGTGGCTTGTTCCAGTAAAACTGTATTTACAGGCCACACATCAGCCTCCACTCAGTGGGGCTCACCAGTCACAGTTTGTAGACCAGTGACCGAGTCCATGCTGTTCAAAGTCTGAAGAGCGCACACCCAAGGCACCTCTCATGGATAGGATGTCAACATGAAAAAGATGAAAGTACATTTCTGTTGGCTGTTCTGCCTTGGCCAATGTAGATATCAACTTGGTGATACACCATGGCATGTTCTAGATACCAAAATAGCTCTGAAATTTCAAAAAGATGTACATATAATTCTAGTACATTTATGTCAGATATACTGTTTGCTCCAGTTCAGATGTGGCTAGCTTCATGCTTCCTTAGAACCATCTAAAAGGAACTGATAAGTTCAGTGAGTCAGAAAGCATACAATGTGAAAACACATTATTTAATTTGATATAAGTTGATAGACTGAACTTATATTTATTTGTTTAGCCTAATTATAATTTGCTTCCATATTGAAAGAATTTAAATTGAAAAAGCCTCACTTGGTAGGGATGGCTGCCAATATAGCAAGAGAATGAGGGCTGTATTGTCTGTCCACTAAGTTCTGGTGTGATGAGACAACTTCTGTTCGGAACTGTGGTCTTTTCCAGATGTAAACCTTTGGATCATATAGACATGTTGACTTATTTTACTTGGATGAGAGAGGAGTTTACAGTGAACGGTTGGTTAGCAGATCTAAGAGCAGACCCTATTTTCTTACCTTCCATATCATTGCTGGGAACAATATTCATTTTGTGTCATCCATAGCAAACATTCCAGGGAGGATTTTGTCAGGCTTAGACTATCACTACTAATGGATTTCTTTCACTGTTATGGTTAAGAGATAACAGATATTCTTAGTTAATGATGATGTAAGAGCATGAAAATTGATACATGTAGATGGAAGTTTCTGTTCCACCTGGTCCCACAGCTGTTCAGTCCCAAATAAACACACAGAGGCTTATATTAATCGTAAACTGTTTGGTCTATTGCTCAGGCTTATTACTAACTAGCTCTTACAACTTATATTGACCCATAGTTCTTATCTGTGTTTAGCCACATGACTTGGTAATTTTTCTTAGTAAGGCATTTTCGTCTTGCTTCCTCTGTGTCTGACTGGCGACTGTGCCTTTCCTCTTCCCAGAATTCTCTTAGTGTGGTCATTTCATCTATACTTCCTGCCTGGATACTGGCCAATCAGTGTTTTATTAAACCAATACAAGTGACAAATCTTTACAGTGTACAAGAGCATCATCCCCCAGCAGATACGTGTTCATTGCTAGTAAACAGGCAATAGGCTGGGACCGAAGCTAGAAGCTCAAGTGAGTCTACCCTATCTGCTCGGGCTCACAAGTGTTCCCTGGATGCAGGAGCCCTCTCTGCAAGCCGGCTCTGCAATAGACTATGTGCACAGCTTACTGCTTTATTCTGTCTCTTTAGTGCAAAACTGCTACTCATTCTGATCAAACAGTCATGAAACAACAACATCAAAAGAAATTCATTTTAATTTATTAAGGTCTTCTATGTTGTGCCCTTGAAGAAGTTCGTATGGATAAACAAGCTTATATAAATAGCCTGCAGCATCCTGTGAAGTGCAGTTCATAATCCAACAATAAAACAGACAGACATTATACTTTGAGCCTCTCCAAACAGCCTCTTGAATAAACCTAAAGGCATTTTGAAATTTATATGAAAAGTACTCACACTGGGTAGGCAACAGTTTTTAATGTGATGAGTTGATCATGCTAATAATTAAATTTCAAAGCCAAAATTTAAATTTGTCCCACACAACTCCATCGAATTTTAATCATTTTAATTTGCTGCTTCCCGAAAGGTCTTTCACTCTGCCCTGCATTCATCACATCTTTTCTTAGCAGTCTACAAAGGTTGATGAGTTTGTTGTGTGGTGCCCATTGTATACAGATTATTACAAGGTACGCTAGCAGGGAGAACACTCAGGTGACAGTGTGGAATATGTCCTGAGTCAATTGCCTCATGGAAATGATATGTTAAGCAATTGGGATGCAACAGATAGTTTTTTTCTATTATTTTAGAAATATCTGTATTGTTAGAGTACAGATCAAATCTACAATGAACATTATGCATTATTCACGAAATGACCAGGCATTCTCAGCAGTGTTTCAGCTGAATAACTGATGATTGTAACCTTTAAAGAAATCTCATTGTGGTGACTGTTGGTAAATCACTTCCCCATTCATAGTAATCTCTATTTAGAGGCTATCTAGAAGCCATTACATCTTTTATTAATCTTAAAAGCAATAGCTGCTGATTTGACATTTACTAAAACTAGATAAATTTTCTGTCTTTCTAATATCATGGACTTCAGTCAATTTTTGGAGTATGTCTCCTGCAACTCGATTAATGTGGGACTATTTGCCATTGTACACCTAAGTTCTATTTCAATTTAAACATTACAGATTTTAAATGGTAATTTGCCTGTGTGTACGGCAGCTGGTGATGCTGAATACGTAAAATATACGACAGCCTCGGTTTCTACAGAGGAGCAATGGAAAAACACACAGGACAACTGCTGATTAAAACCAAGGGAGACCCTAGGGAGGAAGAGCTTTTCTATCTTTATAAAATTTAACTTCACTGAAAGGCTGAAGAGATGCTTCATCAGTGAGGAGCCCTTGCTTGCTCTTGCTGAGGACCCAGTTTGGTTCCCAGGACCCACATGGCAGCTTGTAACCATCTTTAACTCCAGTCCTAGGGGGTGGGGAGGAGGCAACACCCTCTTTTTGCCTGCATGTGAGCCAGGCATGCATGTGTTGTACAGACATGTGTAAGATAAAAAATAATGTAAAA